TTTTAGTCACAGATATTTTACCTAGGCCTTAAAAAAGTTTTCAAAATATCTGAGTTGGTTTAATACACAGACCCTGAATACATGGGAACAACACCTATGTGTAAATGCTTGCACTTTCTGCTCTGATTTCCTCTTTAAATGGAATCCGGCATAAAAGTCATTGAAATGCATAAAGTTATGATGCAAATGCTTTGAAGCAAGAGTGAAATCAGTCTACACAAAATGGCAATGATGTAGTGTGCACACAGTTCTGCAAGGATTCACTGGGCCATCTGAGTTTCCATGGTTTGTGCCACCCATTCTGGGGCTGTCTGACTAATTTCCTCCAGAAGGTTATTCGCCTAGAAACAAAGTGATTGGATCTGTGTGTCCCATGTTGGCAGGGCTGCTTATGTTTCAAAATTAACTCTTTCATCAATCTGATCAATAAATCCATTCATGCGTCATTCTGTTATCATTAGAGATGTTATCATTTCTCCTTTTGCTGCAGGGATCTTAAAGAGAGCTCCAAGTTCTTCAATGGTAATAGCAATTTGTAATTTGCTTGCTGACAAGTTCTGTTCAGTAAGTGCTCTGTCCAAGATTCCGGAGCCACAGCTGTAGTTGCCTTTTTGGTGAAGCATCAGCATTGCAACAAATTCTTGAAGCTGATTTCCTCTGGTGATTCTATCTAGGTACATTTTTCTCTAGGATCCTATATGGAGCAAGTTGGTGGCACCTTTCATCCTTGAAAAAAGTAGCTAGCATGTACGAATGCTGTCATCCTGTTGATGCTAAGATGGTCCAGGAAAACATGTTTTAAGGCCTCTAACCTTTTACTTTCATGGACTACATCTTGTAAAAGAGTTCAGTTTACCTTTGTGCAGCTTCAGTGAATGTTCTTCCATAATCAAGAACACATACATAGTATATCACATAATGTATTTGTAACTGTTCATTGACTGATTAATTCTGAAGCAAGGATGCTCAATTTATGTAAGCCTCTGCCTGGACAGGACCATCATCCTTCAGATATAGTCCAGCAATCTGCAGGTAAGTCTCCAGGTTATCTGCTTTGTACCATTTTTGTCCTGTTTCCAAAGGGATTCCCAGTAACAAGGGCTACATTTCTCCAGTCTTCTTTCTCCTAAATAGATGTAAGATGCTGTCTCATGGATGCAACCTGCTCCTCAAATGAGATGAATCTAGGCTGGATCTTCTCCAAGGTGAAATGGTAGACTTCTTTGGCTGTGCCGTCAGGCAGGTTAGGGAGGTGTGTGCAGAAATCAGCCAGCAACTGTGGCGAGACCACAAGGCTGACATTCTCATTTACCGCTGCTTCTTTATAAATTTTCAAGGCTTCTAGTTGTTCTGACTGAATGGCTTTTTCCAGGAGCTGATGATATTTGCCCTCCAGATCGTTATGAGAGACACTAAAATTCATGAGCTGGGTGAAATCCCATCGCGTGGCCACTGCCATCTTTTTTCCAGCTTAACCATGGCTGGAATATTTTCTTAATACCTTTTTTTAAGTTATATGAAGCTGTGTAACTAATTTATTTGTTCACCAAATAATCCCTTCCAAAACAAATCACAAACCCTACGTTGTAGAGACTACATCAGTTTTATTCCCAGTTGAGGAACAAACTAATCTCTAATATGTAACATTACTCCTTTGATACTTCAGTACACAAACAAATAAGCAAATAAATGTTTCCCAAGTGGATTGCAACACTTTCTCACCCTTACCTGTTCTCCCAGTACTATTCTGATATCTCTCTGTCTTGTAGTTAAACCCTAAGAGTAAAAGAAAGAGTAACACCTTATCCTGTGATTGGTCTTCTAAGTTACCTCTTTGTCTCCAGTGTTTTAACATGAGTATGTATTCTGCCCTGAGTGAATTCCCCATCTCAAACTACATATTATTAACTATTCATGACATCTTCATAAATCAATTTTTCTTTTTTTAACTTAAAAAATGTTTCTGCCTCACCTCCTTCATCCTCACTTTTGTCTGTTCTAAACCAGGTTTTGATTTTGTTCTGCCTAGGGTATGGCAAACAGGTTTCCTAAAATCATTTTGGATGTGCTATTACTTGTCCCAGTTCTATGAAGTGTTAGTATGATTATCTCCTTGCCCCAAGACACAGATCAAGTTTCCAAAACAGTCTCAAAACACACTTACAGATATAATTATCTTCAAGGCTTCCCTGTAACACTACTGGAATTGTTGGAGACATCTTTGAGTGTACAGTTTTTGTATATGCTGTGTGTGTATGCATGTCTGTGGACACTCGTGTGTGTGCATATGCACATGCAGATGAGGAGATGTGAAGTTGATATTGAGTATCTTTCTGCATTGCTCTCTACTTTATTTCTCATTGAACCCAGAGATGGCTGATTCTAGCTAGTCTAGGCAGCCAGCTTGCCTCAGAAATCCTCTGTCTCTGCCTTCCAAGAGCTGAGATCATAGGCGACAACTTTGGCTGACAGGCTATTACATAGGATCTGGGATCGAAAGTCTGGTCCATATGCTTATGGGGCAAGTACTTTATCAACTGAGCAACCTCCCTAGCCCTTGAATTTACATTTAATGGTGCATCTTTCATGACAATTCTGTGTTTCTGAGGAATCTTCCATTGGTTTTACCCTGTTTCATAGTCATTTTTGCTGCCAGAGACGTATATGGGTCCTTAGTTGAAGATGACATTATATATCAATCAGTTATGCTTTTTATTTCTGAAGTGCCCTCACCAATGTGTTAGCGTAGCATTATTTTCTTTCTTATCTGAGTTTTCCGTCCTCTCTGAGAATCAGGTTTAGCTATTCCGCAGCAGAGAGATTAATAACCTTTAGGCCAATAGAAACTGGACAATGGGCCTTAGCATTGCACTGACAAGGTGGCAATGATGAATAAGCTTTATCTGGGTGCTGAATGCTGTGCAGTGCACCTTCCAGAGCATTCACCATGTGACAGCGTTGTCGGCAAGGCATTAGTATTGTAGAAACAAAAAGTCCTCAGTGATTTCTCTTATTAACATGCCATTCAATTTTATGTCCTTATGACTAACACGGTATGGAGGGTTTGACACAGTGGTGTCCCAACTGAATTGTTCATTCTTTGTAATAAAATGCTTGCTTTGTTTTTATGTATAGCATCACTGCAACATTTCCCACTCAGTGGGTGCTCTATAAATATTGACTGGTTGAAATTTGGAATTTCAAGTATCATGACTTTTGGGTTATTGGCTTCTTGTAATTGCCTTTGCAACCTACAGATGCAGCTAAAATTGGAGCTCGACTCTGAAACATATCCATAAAGCCTTTTGTCTAAGTTACACAGCAAATCTTTAAGGTAGAAATTATCCTTTTTTACAGCTGCAAGTCTATTATTTATGGGCAATAAACAGTTGTTTCTAATGGAGAAGTCTTCAATTATAGGCCTGTGTTTAGAGACTCAACCTAACAATATAATTCAGTTGGAGGTCAAGAAATATTATTTGTTTTGGTGATGGATATTAAATATCCAAGAGAAGCACACGTAACATGCCTTGGTAATGGCTTTGTGGTTTGACTCCTGCCTCCTTAAATGTGGGAAATGACATTGGAAAGAGCACAATAACTTTTAAGGGTTAGAGCCTCCTTGAAACATATGTGTGACAATCTGGAACTGACTTCAAATACATGGCAGAGGCCATTTTTAGAGACTCAGTTCACTGCTCCAAAACTTAACATACATACTATTGTCTCCTCCCTCAAGAGTTGATCCATCTGGGTCTGTCAATCACCTGGCCAGGAGATCACCACACAGGAAGAGTGATTCATACGAAGATGTGCAATAGAGGTCGGAGGAATAATTGCCCCTTTAACAAGTTCATGTACTGCTCCTTGCCAGAAGCCCTTCTTCAATGCCGATGGAGTCTCCACTGTGCAGCCTCACAAAGCCTACTCACTTCTTTTAGTTCTAGCCCAGAGAGCACACATTTTCCTTTGCTTTTTACCATTTTTCATTTGGCGTATTAGCCAGAGGCCTAAACCTGTTTTTCCTGACAGGCTGGGCTTTCTCACTTTCTTTGAAGGTCCCCTCCCCTTCAGCCATGCAGCTGCTGGCAGACCTCTATTGTTGGACATGTTGGCTTCTTAGACCCCAACAACTTTCTCTTTTCCATCTCCCTCCTCCTAGCAACTGCAAATGTTTGCAACTCATCAGCCCTGTTATTTTTCTCTCAAATGGTAAGAAAATTTTCCTTGAGCTTCTGAGTCTATTTCTAAATTCTTTTATTAATGAGACCAAGAACACAGAGGGCACCCTCTTTCCTCAGTAACAATATGATTTATTGTTGATAGGTTGAATGATGAGATACTGCAGGCAGACTTCTGCTTACCACTTGCCTTCCAGATTCTATTTCTTCCTTTTGCCAACTGACTCCTAATCCCTTATTCTTTCTCTGAAAGGTTTTCTTGACCTTTGAGCAACAGAGCTCTCCCTTTATGACCTCACAGCTCCACATCGCTTTTTACCATTGTAGTCTGCACACTTTTCTGGAAATAAGCAACACCAGGGCAGAGGCCAGCTCAGCTCCATTTACCACTGTTGGCCTATGCTTAAGAAAGCCCCTGAACGGAAGTAATGTTTAAGGACTATTTCTTGAATAAGTAGATGAATGGATTTTACTCAAACATGAGCTAGTCATTTCTATGCTCTATTTAACACTTCAATATGTGTTCAGTATATTATTCAGCTATGTGTGGAAAGATAATATACCATAAAGGAATACTGGGATCCAAACATAACACAGAAATGCTTTCCTGAGGAGTTCATTTTCCAGTGACAGGAACTGGCAGCTGTCAAGGTGGGGCTAAGGCTATATGCTGACTTGGGTAAAGCCTAAGGACAGGTCTCGCTGCTGTAGAGTTTCTGATATTCCCCTTAGCATTGAATAAAATTTCCACCGTTGTACTCAGCTGCCCAAGGCACAATCTCAACATTATTCTTCTCCTCCCTTTACTTCATCACTCACCTTCACAACCAATCAGCAAGTCCTCCAGGTCTCAGATTTTGAATCATCCTTAAATGCATCCTTTCTTTTCTCGCAAGTCTCCATCATCCACTGACCACTCTATTGCAGTGTATCTGCCCCACTGTTCTCAGAGCTCTACCTTTGAACCTCTCAATTTCATCTTTCCATTGCTGCAAAAATCAGTAAGAAGAATGAGAAGACAGCACTTCCTTCTTAAAACATTCCGTGGGAGGGGGAGTGGCTCTGAGTCACCTTGAGTTTTAAGTCCATTGTCTCAGCATGGAACACAGTGCCTCCCATAATTTGGCCCCTATCTAGTCCTCTAATTTCTTCTTCTTAGTTTAATATTCTAATGATATGACATGAAATACTCCCTTAATCATGAAACTTGACAATAAATCTCCTTAAGGATAGTTCAGTAGCACGGGAACACAGACTGCAGGGAGGAACAGGAAATGTTGAGATTTTTTTCAGTGATTAAAAAAAATTTTTTTTTTATGTAACTTGTCTAACAAGAGTGACTAGTTGTAATTGGTTAAGAATGTGATAATTAATTAACAAAGATCTATCTCCCACGACACTCATGATCTGCTGGGAAAGAATGACAGTCACTAATAAATAAGTACTATACCCCATGCTAAGTGCTCCTACAGGTATTTAAAAATCCTGATAAGAACAATGAGATAGAAACTGGTTAGTCAGTTTTAGGAACAGAAACCCCAAAGGGAACTGTTCAAATTCTTGTCCTTGGTAAAAAGCCAGAAATGCCCTTTGTTCTGTCCTGGATGGAGGCCAGGAATATCAGGAGGGAGATCTGGTTTCTTGCTATCCCTCTCTTCTCTGAAATGAGCACCCTTGTTTGGAAGCCGTGAGTGAGGGTGTGATTAAGACTCCAGTTCAGACACTAACGCCTTCTGGGGATAGTTAACTTTGGAATGGGATGTCGGGGTTTTCATGGTAGAAATAAGTTGTATTTGTTCCCCAATTTCGGACCATCTCCTAAATGATTTTAGGGCCTCACTCTTGAGGAGGTATTTTAGGTAAGTAGATGGGGGTTAGTAAGCCTTAAAGGTGATTAGGATTGACCCTTTCCTCAAAGTTGGCTTTGGAACCCACCTCTCAGTTACCTGGTAATATTAGAAAGGAAAACATCACAACAGCTTCTGCTTGGGCCTCCTCTGGCCCTAGGTGGAGACTTGACATTCTGATCTGCTCCAAAGATTAAAACATTACATTCTATTATCTTCTCTCTTAAGAGTTGTTCCAGATGGGCCTGTCAATCACCTGGCTAGGAGAACACTCCCAAGGAAAGCTGCTTCACCTAAATCATGTTAAAACATGAGAGGAATAATTATCCCCACAGTAAGATACTTCTTCCCAGAAGCCCCTCCTCCCCTGGTGCAGCCGCTTACAGAACTACCACCCAGCATTGCTAAGCCTGCTCACTTTTTTGAGTTCTAACTCACAAAACATAACCTTTCCTTGCCCTCTTTCCACATCTTTTCTTTCAGCTGCTGGCCAAAGCCTGAGCAAGGTTTCCCTGACACTCTGGACTTTCTTCTTCCTTCCCTGTAGCTCCTCCAACCCCATCCACCATGCAGTTACTTGCTGACTTCCGTTTCTTAACAGACTGACTTTCTTGAACCCTACCTTAGAGGCATAACTTTCTCCACTTTCTCTATCTCTGCAGGCAGCTTCCAAGATTTACAGCTTGCTTTTCCTGTTGTTTTTCTTTCAAACTCAGATAAAATTATCCTCCAGTTTCTTTCTGAGTCATTTTCTAATTCTTCTGTTAATGAGACTAAGAAGCAAAAGGGGAGCCCCAGCTCACCAGTTATAGTGGTATGGACTCACAGCATGTGATGAGGCCACAATGAATCTGGGAAAGTGAATCAGAAGCATGTGATGAGGCCACAATGAATCTGGGAAAGTGAATCAGAAGAAGTAATGTTTCTGAAAAGTCTCTGGGAGATTTTCACAGAGATTCCTCACAGCCCTGAACTCAGAAAGCACTCCAGGTAGTAGGACCCAAATGAATAAGGATGCAAGGCATGGGGAGGGAGCTACTTCTGTTTGAGGAATCACAGTCAGCATAGTCCAGATGAGATATATTTCTGGTGTAGTTCTTAGAGTTGTAACCATAATGACAGATTCCTGTGGGTGAGGAACAAGGCTGACTACAGTGTTATTTGAGGTAACTACAGCTGGGGAAAACTGAAAGTAATATTACGGTTTTGCAGAGCAGAACATATGAAAATAAAAAACACATTCATTCTATATTACATATAACAGAAGTTTGTGAAAACATATTAATAGTCTACCTCAGTTTCCGGTTAGGTAAGGCTATGGAAATATCTTTCCAACTTTAGTGAACATTTGTTACCATATAACTAAAGGCTGATGTTCATGTTTAATGAGTTTCATGCAAAATTAGTATGCGTAAGTTGTCTCAATTTGTTTTTTAGGATTTCACATAAATACAGTGCATGTCTTAGGAAATAAATTGGGATATTTCTACACAGAAAGAACGATGGAGGATGATTCATGATCCAATTGTGAATCAATATGGTATGTTAAGCTGATAAGAGTATTTTATGATTGATCTTGTTATTTCTTTGGAAGACTGAAACTATTTTATCAAGCCTAGCTTGAAAGCTAGAAAGCATTAAATGTCTCTTCAGCATGGTAATCAATGATAAGAATTTTGCATGACTGCAGAGTTAAGAACACTGGGCTTGGGATCAAGGCTCCAAAGTTTTCATTGTAAGGTCATCAACCAAAGCCTTAATGGTGCATCCTTCTCCCCTCCTCTGCCCTCCTCCCCTCTTCTCTCTTGCCCTTTCTTCCTCCCTTTCTCTCTCCTTCTCGCTCCATATTCCCTCCCCACCCTCCTTGCCTCCTTCCAGTGTCACTCCCCTCCGATCTCCCCTCCCCCCTTCCCTTCTTTCTCTTCTAGTGCTCTCCTCTTTTGTCCTCTCATCACCCTCTCTTAGCTGAAGATTGAACTCAGGGCCTTTCACACAACTAGACAAGCCATCGACTACTAAGCTATACGCCTAGCCTCTATTGTTATTTCTTTACTGATAAAATGCAAGTTCCCTTCAGGGATTTTATGTACCCAAATGGCCTATCACATGTGGTACATTTAACACTGTCTTTGACACTATGTTACAGGGCTTGTAGGTGAGTGCTTTCTAAACAACTATTTCAGTACAGATGAAATATAATGCATGTGACACGTGCAATTAAAATTTCCTAGTTTCTACATTGAAAACAGAAAAAGTAGATACATAAAATGAATTTCAACAATATGTATTTAACCCTATATATTAAAAAAATAACATTTAAAGAGAAAATGAAGTTAGAATGGATGAATATACCTTTTAAAAATATGGAGCCTTCTACATGAAGTATGCGTTTTATAGCCCTTCTCAAATTGAATGAACCACCTTTCCTGTGCTGAACAGCTACATGTGGCAACAGAAACGGGCACTGTAAGACCTGGGTCACACTGCTAGCTCAGCTCCCAGCAGCACTACTAGGTGACCCATCACCTTCCATGGTGTTTTATCCTCTCTGTCAGTACACTGACAGAGATACACTGGATTTGCATCCATGGTGGGCAGATTTTTATGGATCCCCCATTTTCCTCCCCTACCCTGTGCCCACCTTGCATAACCTTAAAGACAATGGATGTGACGGATTCCACTCTTGTGTCTGACCTCTAGACCCAGAACCTATGCAATTATGCAATTAGATGAAACTCATTCAGATAATCTGCCCAGAGAGTAGCCAAGAGCTGATATCCAGTGAGAAAGCAGGACTTATTTCTATAGTACTAAGAACTTAATTATGCCAACAGTGAGCTTGAAAGAGGACTCTGAGTTCCAGAGGAAGATGCAGCTTGTTGACACCGATTTCAGCCCTGGGAGACACTGAGCAGAAAGCTCAGTGCATTAACACAAACCAATATGACAGCTTGAAATAAATATTTTGCTAAAATGTTTCTTGGAAGTTATGAAGCTTTTATTTTGGAAAGCAATAAAATATCTGGAAATATTTTAAGCCAAAAAAGTGTTTGCCATTGAAATAATAATGTTAAAAACCAGCTTGAGTTTGCATTTAACCTCTTTGAAGACTGTGTTCTATGCTTTAAAGGACTGACTATGTTGTGGGTCTGTGACATTAGGGAAGAATGACGTTGGAGCATCGGGGCTGGCAGGGGAGTGGTGATGGGCAGAGATAAGCATGGCAAGACTGCAGAGTGAAGGGACAGTGGGGAAGGGAACACTGTCCCAGGCCTAGAATGATGTATCCACTACCATTTAAATGAGGGGATGTTTAAATTGAGGAAAAATTCTATAAAATACTTAAAATATTCCCAGGCTACAACTGCAGAAGCATCTTGTGACAGGAGAAAAGTGTGGTGACCTCTTCTAACTCTTCTAACTCGTGCCCTTGTTGGGGTTTTCCCAGTCTCCAAGAATATCATCAAAATGGCCCTAGGAAGAATCATTTTTCTCCCTCTTATACTGTAGTTCAAGGTGGGCACAAATCCTCTTCTCTTATTTGTAGTGTGAGTCCATATGTAGGTATTTGAGAAAAGTTAGTGAAGAGAGGCATAATCATGAGGGAAAAAAATCTTAGAGGACAGCATCTGGTCCTCTAAGATTGTAATATTCAGTCAACCTTCAACTTATCAGGCATTAATCTTCTTCACCATGATTAGAAAGCACCTTGACACACAGAGAATTCTGTCTTGTAAGTCTAGAATCTTCCAGAAGTAGAATGTGATATATTTATAAAAATAAATAGATTTAAGGGCAAGTAGTTTATTTGGGAGGAAATACAAGTAAGGATTTCAAATAGGATACTTAACAAAATAGTCAATAAATGGTATTTTAACTACTGATGTTTCAAAACACCAAACCATTCTATTATAGTATTATTTAATGTGTAAATTATATTGGTATATGTAAAATAAAGTATGGTTTAAAAATCTATTAATGTTAACAGTAAGAACTCTAGCAAAGAGTCCTATGAGAGACAGAGGTAGAGGATTTATTTACAAAATATCAAACATCTGTCTATTCAAGAGTATTTATTGAGACAGTAAGTTTTCAATATTTCCAACTTGCCCTGTCTAGACGTACTCTTAATTTAAAGAAAGACAGGAAGGAAGGGAGGAAGGAAGGAAGGAAAGAAGGAAAAAAGGAAGAGAAAAGCTCTTTGCAGGGAATTAAAAATCTTGCCAAAAAAATGGCCTTTACAACAGAGGTAAATGCATGGGGACACCAACAGCTTTGCTTCTAGACTAGAATCTTGACATACATTTACTCAGAGGTAGTGGACAACATTTACTACCTCTTCACACAAATCAGGCATATTCTCTAAGGGTCTTATTTCTACTCCTACCCACAGCTTTGAAAAGGAAATTCAGTCCAAGGAGACCACAGTGGGATCTCTTGTCTTTTTACATCAAAGGAAATTATGTCTCTCCCCTTCTCTACCTTACTCCCCTGAGAAATAGCATCTTGGTCTCTGAGTTTGATCTCTTGAAGTCAGATGAAGATGGACTCAATCAGGCCTGCTGGTCTCTGGCTGATAATCTCTTGTTTGGATGTAGGCATGCTGAATATCAAATCCTTCTGTTATGCTAGGGTCAGCACTTGCTTATGGTTGCTTTCCCTCATATTAAAAAAAAAAAAACTTTAATTCTGAGGAAATGAAGTCCACATGATTCTCATTAGCACATAAATATTCTGATGTTCTTTTTACATGAGCTCTTTGATGTTTGGGGGAAAACATGTGTCTTTATGATCTTTTCCTTTAAAGTAGGCAGGCTTTTTTTTTTGACATATGAATTCTTGGGGAAAAATGGCTTGGTAAACCTTTTACAGGTCATGTTGTTTTATTCATGCTTCATATGTCTAACTATTATTATTTAATCAACTATTATTTATTGCTCAATATTTTGTAGGGACAAGAAAACACAGACAGACCAACATACACACACACACACAGACACACACACACACACACACACACACACACACACACACACGAGATCCAGAGCAAGAAATCAAGGATTTTATGGTTTGCAAGAGAAAAGAACAGTACACAAATAACTGGGCATTTAACTGGATTAAAGAATGTCCTTGCCACAATTCTAGGTTCTAAGGACAAAAGCTGAGTAAATTTGATCACTGAAGCAACAACTCACCGTTCGGGAGACAGTCAGCATGCCAAGAACCCATAAGTGGTATACAAATCAAGCTGTGATAATTTTGTAGTACAAATAATATTAAAATGTGATGGGAGCATAGATGAGTTACCATTGTGCATTATTGCAGACTCTTATTGTGCTTGGCAGATATACTTCAAACTTTTAAATAACTTAACATAATCGTAAATGGGTGGTGATATTTAGTGTTAGTATTCTAATTTTTCTAATGAACTTCCCCCTTATAAGACAGTGATTTTAGTTAATGTTTTCGATGTTCTCAGTGCTCTATTGACAAGTCCTTCCCCAGTTTTGCACTGTGTCTTGGGCTCCCTTATTCCCTGAGGCATGTTGAAATTAGGCTCATTAATAACCCTGAAGTAGTCTTTAGGAGGTTAAGTGTAAAGAAGAGTTCTTATTTCTCATTTTAAGTCAAAAGCTAGAAATGATTAAGTTAGTAAGAAAGGATGTAGCAAACTGAGACAGGCCAAGAGTTAGGCTTCTTGTGTCAAACATTTAGCCAAGTTGTAAAGCAAAGGAAAAGTTCTTGAAGGAAGTGAAAAACAT